TACTCCTGAGTCCTCAGAGGAGCACACCCGCGCTCTTGCCCTGTGGTGTTGATTTAATAACTGATTAATTTGATTTTATGTCAATTATTTTTGTCAATGGGATTCTATCGACAAATGTTACTGAATTAAATTTCTCTCACTTTTCTTCTTTACATTTCTCAGAGAAAAAAAAAATAAAAAAACGAGTATATGCATATCTATATGAACACACGTGTGCACATATACTCATATATAAAGACGTCCAAAAGGAAAATAAAGCGCATATTGTTGGCTCTGAAAATTGACAGAATTTCCAAAAATGACTAACACGTCTGGTCGTAGGATCTTTTGGTCTCGAGAGAAATGTAGTTGTTGTCACTCTTGGTCACGCCACTGTTGTCAGGAACACGGTGTCAAGGGGAGTGTCCGCATCTATCTGTTAATAGAGAAAATACGAAAGAAAATGAGAAGAGAATATTAAATAAGTCAAAATATCAAGAAAGTAAAATGAGTATGTTAAGTAGACCAACATGCCAGGAGAGTAAGGAGAGAATATCAAATAAATTTTAAATTATCAAGAAAGTAAAATGAAGAAAAATGTCAAGAAAGTAAGAAGAGAACGTCAAATAAATCAAAATACCAAGAAAAAAGATAATAATAAAAATAAATCAAATGGAATGGAATAAAATGCGATTCACCCGTTAAGAAGTATGAAAAACAAGACAGAGGAGAGAGAGAGAAAAAAAGTTATATAAGAATAGACAGAAATCAAGTCATGCAGTACGGCAGGGTCCCATTGTGCAATATGATGATAACGTCTTATCTCGCCCAAGAAAATTTCAAGAGAAAAAACCCTCAGGGTAGTCAACAGCAGCTTGTTGAATGATAAGTGAATCGAACATAAAAGATGACACATAGAAAGTTTGAAGACAAAAATAAGGAAAAAGGCAGAGGGTGAGAGGGAATAGAAGAGAACGACGGGGGAGGAGGGAGACAGAGAGTAGAGAGGGAGAGAGAGGGAGAGAGAGAGAGAGAGAGAGAGAGAGAGAGAGAGAGAGAGAGAGAGAGAGAGAGAAGGAGAGAGAGAGAGAGAGAGAGAGAAGAGAGAGAGAGAGAAGAGAGAGAGAGAGAGAGAGAGAGAGAGAGAGAGAGAGAGAGAGAGAAGAGAGAGAGAGAGAGAGAGAGAGAGAGGCATACAAACCAGAAAGAAAAATAAATTCAACCATCCAAAACCCCCAAACCACGCCAACCAACCACACACCAAACCCCCAACACTATTCGCCAACCTGGAAGACCTTCTCATAGTACGAATAAGCAACGGATTGGTTGTCGTAGACGATCTTGTGCCACTCGAAGGGGCGTGACCTGGTCGAAGAACCCGCCCCTGTCCGCCGAGTAGAGGCCGCTGTGCACCGTCGGCTCCGGATACACTGCATAGACGGTCATGCTGCTCCGGATCCTGCATGCGGAATGTCACCGGAGAGTTCGTTGTCGATGCGGTTCGATGTCTGGTCTGAGGGAGGAGATAGAGATAGACAGAGATAAATAAAGATGAATAGATAAAGCAGAGATAGAGCAACAGCAACAATATAGAGATGGAGATTAGAGAGGAGATGGCTAGATGAGAGACAGTAGCTGAAGGGAGGAGATAGAGATAGACAGAGATAAATTAAGTAGAAAAAAGTAGATACAAGAGAGAACACCGACAACAGATATAAAGAGATAGAGATAGAGAGAGGGGGGGATGAGCTAGATTGAGAGACAGGTAGGTCTGAGGGAGGAGGATAGAGATAGATCAGATATAGCGATAATGAGATAGAAATAAGAAATAGATAAAGACGAGAGAAGGAATAGATAGACAGAGAGGGGAGATGGCTAGATTGAGAGATAGGGAGGTCTGAGGGAGGAGATAAGATAGATAGAAATAGATAAAGCATAAAGATAGAAAAACAGCAACAGTAATATATTATATAGATAAAAGATAGAGATAGAAAAAGAGATAGATAGAGATATTAGAGGGAGATGGTAGATTGAGAGACAGGAGGTCTGAGGGAGAAGATAGAAATGGATTGAGATACAGAAGAGATAGAGAAAGAGATAGATAGAGATAGAGAAGGGAAATAGATAGAGAAAGATAGAGGAAAGAAATAGACAGAGGAGAGGGAGATGGGCTAGATTGAAAGTTAGGTAGGGGTGAGGAGGAGATAAGATAAGATAGATAAAGGAGGGAAATGATAAGAGATAGATAGAGGATAAGAGAGGGAGATGGCTAGATTGAGAGATAGGTAGGTCTGAGGGGAGATAGAAATAAAGAGGGAGATGGAGAGATAGGTAGATCAGTGGATCCCAATCTTTTTCAATGTATAATACTCATTGGCATTTTCAGATTCCGCCACTGATAGTTATGAATAGTATAATGGTACCAACAGCGACAGGCCAAGAACACGTTATGAGATTATAATATACTGATATGTGAGATATAATGATAAGTAGGTGAGATAAAGTTCAGTTTAATTCAACGTCATATTTCATATTTCTAGGATGGGAACCCCTGAGGTAGATGGATAGGTTAGGTGGGTAGGTAGGTAGATCGAAAATAGGTAGGTAAGCAAGTAGGTAGGTAGGTAAGGTAGGTAGAGTAGGTAGGTTAGGTAGTAGGTAGGTAGGTAGGGAGAGAGAGAGAGGAGGAGGAGAGAGAGAGAGAGGGAGAGAGAGAGGAGAGAGAGAGAGAGAGAGAGAGAGAGAGAGAGAGAGAGAGAGAGAGAGAGAGAGAGAGGGAGAGAGGGGAGAGGGAGGAGAGAGAGAGAGGGAGGGAGAGAGGAGAGGGAGAGGGAGAGAGGGGAGGAGGGCGGGAGGGAGGGAGGGAGGGAGGAGAGGAGGGAGTGAGAGTGAGGCGGGAGGGAGGGAGGGAGGGGGAGGGAGGGAGGGAGGGAGGGAGGAGGGAGGGAGGGAGGGAGGGAGGGAGGGAGGGAGGAGAGGGGAGAGGGAGAGAGAGGAGAGAGAGAGGGAGAGAGAGAGAGAGAGAAGAGAGAGAGAGAGAGAGAGAGAGAGAGAGAGAGAGAGAGAGAGAGAGAGAGAGAGAGAGAGAGAGAGAGAGAGAGAGAGAGAGAGAGAGAGAGAAGAAAGGAAAGGAAGAGGGAAGGAGGCCAGTAATCACATTAGCGAACAATGTTGTTAACTTTTCACTAATTTAGTTTTAAAGACTCATTAATATTATCCCAGATTTGTTTTACTCCTTAAAAAATGTTTTGTTCTGATGATTTTAAATAGCAATTAATATAGTTTCTTCTTCGGCAGTTGCTTGTCATCACAACAACTCTTAAATATGTGTCCTTTGTTATGCAATATTTCAAACAAGGTCAATTTTCGTTGGCAAGATAAAGGCTGAAGCTTTGTTTAATATTTTGAAGGGGGGAGGTGAGAGGAAGAGGGGGGGGAGGTGAAGAGGGGAGGGAGAGAGGGGGGGGGGAGATGAGAGGAAGAGGGGGGGGAGGTGAGAGGAGGGAGACAGGAAGCGAAAGGTGGGGAGGGAGAAAAGGAGAAGGGAAGTAGAACGATAGTGGGTTATAAAATACAGATATATGCAGATAACATGGTTAGACAAAGAGATTTACCAGCGCTACCTCACAGGAAATATAACTGGAGACCCTAGACAATTTCTCCACCAAGAATGCGCGTTGTATATAATGAATGCGTGGGTCAGGCATATCGTGCTTCCTTCATTCACAGATCGTGCCCCGTGGATGCTGTTTAGACTTAGCAGTTGTCTCCTCACTCTTATCTTCTCTCCTTCGTGTCTCCCTCCCTTATCTCCTCTCATCTTACCTCCTCATCTCCGCTCCCCTTCTACTCTCCCACACATTCCCTCCTCGATCTCCTCTCCCAACCTCCCACATTTTTCCTTCCTCATCTCTCCCCACTTTCCCTCCTCCACTCCCCATCTCCCTCATTTTCCTTCCTCATCTCCCCCGCTCCTCTCCCACCCCCCTTCTCCCTTTCCCCTTCCCCCGCTCCCCCTCCACCCCCATCTCCCTCATTTCTTCCCCATCTCCTTTCCTCTCCTCGCCCCCTCCTCCACCCCCTTCTCCCTTTCTCCACCCTCCGCTCCCTCCTCCATCCCCTCTCCTCATTTTCCTTCCCATCCCCGCTACCTCCTCCACCCCACCTCCCCCATTTACCTTCCCATCTCTCCCTCACCTTCCCCTCTCCACCCCTCCATCTCCCTCATTTCCCTTCCCCATCTCCCCTTTCCCTACCCACCCACCCCCGTCTCCTGTCCCCTCCCCCCTCCCAACAAAGAAAACCCTCCCTTCGCCAAAAAACTTACGAATGATGAGCACTTCCCACGGAGCCGTCTCGAGGACCTGCCCGTCGGTGGTCGCGATGCCGCAGGAGTACTTCCCTCCGAGTTCGTAGGCGAGTTTCGTGAGTTCGAGGTTCCCGTCGGTGCGGTCGAGGTTGACGTGGTCCTCGAGGAGACCCGTAGCTGGGAGGGAAAGGGGGTTAGAAAGAGAGGGATGAAGGGGGGTTAGAAAGAGAGGGATGAGGTGGCGCGGTTAGAAAGAGACGGATGACGGGCGGGGGAAGGGAGAGATGGATGATCTAGAGGAAGGAGAGAGAGGGAGGGATAGTACTGGTGGGACGGGGAGGGGATGAGGGAAGAAACAGGGAGGGTGAGTGGGGGGGGGAGTGAGAGAGTGCAATAAAGGTGAAGGAAGGGAGCGATGGTTAGATTGGTGCATACATACAGAGTGGGGGCAGAGAGAGTAGAGTGATATATATAGAGAGAGAAAGAGAGAAAGAGATGGGATAAAGCGAGACATACATAGAGGGGGGAGGGAGGGAAGGGAGGGAGGGAGAGAGAGAGAGGAGAGAGAGAGAGGAGAGAGAGAGGAGAGAGAGAGAGAGAGAGGAGGGAGAGAGAGAGAGAGAGAGAGAGAGAGAGAGAGAGAGAGAAGAGAGAGAGAGAGAGAGAGAGAAAGAGAGAAAGAGAGAAAAGAGAGAGAAAGAGAGAGAGGAAAGAGAAGAGAGAGAGAGAGAGAGAGAGAGAGAGAGAGAGAGAGAGAGAGAGAGAGAGAGAGAGAGAGAAAGAGAAAGGAGAGAGAGAAAGAAAGAGAGAGAGTAGAGAGAGAACAGACAGAAAGAAAGAGAGAAAGTGAGAGAGAGAGAGAGAGAGAGAGAGAGAAAGAGAGAAAGAAAGAGAGAGAGAAGGCTAAACAAAGCGAGAGAGACAGAGACAGAGAGAGATTAGCTGACATCGCTGCCGCACCATGTCTTCAGAAGATTAGTGCGCAACGGATGAAATAAACCAAGTGACATTACGTTCCTTCAAGGTTATCGAAGACTTTACTCTGTCAGAGATATACAAGATTAAGCAGGAGGGACGCCATTCACGCTCCACTTGGCGCGAGTCTAAAAAAGTTTCTAAAAAGTCATCTGATTTCTCCTCTCTCTTCTACAACCCGGAAATAGCCCGTGAATAATGA